TACTTTATATGAATCATGAAATTTCAGTGAGGCTGTATAAATCGATTGTCCATCATCACAATACGGTTACTTAAAGCAGAACTCCAATAGGTAGCAACCGATTATGTGACAGCTGAAATGAGATGCATAAATTTGCACTGGAACAGATACGAGCTGCTCCACGTCGCAACTAACTCCACCCGGTACATTCGAGTCAATGGCACAGATTGGATGCATTTATCGAGATTGGCGAATTGTTGTCATCTTGCACGCATTAAGCCAAGCCGAAAACAGCAGGTCCTCCCGGGGACTTTATAATGGATTGCATCACGTTAGGTACTGTCTGTCCTCCTCTTGTCCGCATTCTGTTTCCCACCAAATGCACCGAGTGACCACGTGAATCGTTACATCATCCTTGGGGTGCACATGTGAATAAAAACCAAAGCCGTCTGATCGTTTAATGACCAACGTGTGTCGCTGGTAATGGAAAATTACCGATGGACTGCAAAAATTCGCTCATCTTTGCTGGAGACTATTGGAACTGCGTAGATGAGGTTGTGAGTTTCAAAGGTAACTGCCGAGCAGTCATTTGGGGGTTGAACCAAAATTATTCACCATTCACCAAAAGCCGAACTATTGCACACAGTAATTTTGTTTAAACATATAGATGGCTTAACCGGTGTACAAATCACTACAGCAACAACTCACTGTTCTTCCATTCGAATACTAGGATGACTAAAACGAAGTCTATAATCAAAGCGGCATGCAACATATGGAACAAATAATTGTAGAATGATTTGAAGCAAAGTTTGAAAAGTGCGAAATAAACGCATTATTAGCTGTCATTTGACCAGTCAAGTTTTCCGACCCGCGCAAAGTGACACGCTTGCGGAGTGAGAAAGAACTCTGTCTGTTTGCAGAATCAGACAGAATCGGCATACGGACCACCAGAATGTGCTTTTCTAATGAGTTGTTTGGCTCGTAAAGTGATGATACATTGACATCGGGATCCCTGGATTATCTTTTATCCGTTCAATAAAAGAACAGCATTAATTAACGGAAAAACGGTCCCATAGTCCATTCGACACTTCTTTGGAATATTTCTATCTTCATTCGATCATGCTACAGGAAACTTTATTCGACCTTCGGTTACAATATTGTGGGATTTCTCAACGAAAACTTCAGAATTGTTCTTTGTACAATAAGAACATTTAGTAATCGAAATCTAGCAACAAAAGTGGACTACGTAACATCGACTGTTACTTAAAAAGCGGTTGAAATCAAATGATTCATTGACTTGTCAGTATTCGCAAACGCAGAACTAATCGCCATTGTGGGAAGCGAAGTAGCGAATATGATGAATGGATAAATTGAGATAGTTATTTCATCCATTACATTGAACCTAGAGTCGTCTCACAAACGTTTTCTTTGAGGTTTGCAATTCTAGAAAAGCTGAAGGTTAGATCGGAGCAAAAAAAGCCTGAAACACACAGGTACATGTGATCCACAACGTCCATTTCATTTCCATCTTTTGCACGTGGTTATCTATCATACCGTTGGGGAAATACCAGCCTGAAAATTAAATTTAATCAACATTTAGCATTGACTACTCATGAGTAGTCAACTTGAAAAGTCCACTTTGGAAATAAAACTGGAAAACGTGCAATTGCGTTTGTTCCGGGCAGTGCCGTAAATAACATTCGAAAAAGGATGAGATATCAATGTGAGTCGAACAACAAGTCAGTGGTGAACACTCAGGAATTTGGCTAATAGCTTCAGATACCATGGTAACGATATTCTAACCAGTATTAACCTCATCCAATGCATTTATGTTCGTTGTATTGCGTGTATTATTTGCCCGATGTCAGGTGCACCATGTCATACGGCTGATCAGATTGGCGAGGTTTTGTATTTGTTTATTTCACTCCTAAATGACGCTTCGATCAGTATTCACTCATCTGTCACGTTGAGCGAACTCCCCCCTCCCCCCCGCTTACTGTTGTTCTCCCACATTCCAGAAGGCCTTCAGGTGAGCAATCAGGTGAAAAGAAGATTGACATTTAATGCCATCCCAACGGGACCGGATACGGCCAAGCCCAGTACGGACACACTCCTGACTCCGACCCCGATCGCCAAATCTAGCGTCCCTTGGATCCGGCGAGCCCGCAAAGCATGCTCTTTTCGTCGCACAGACCCGTGCGAACGTGCCATCCCACCCACATATCATTCCAACGGTTGCTCCACTGCTCAGACTTCATCACCAAATAAACAGATCATTTCGGGGTAAACCAAGGAAGGCCACATTGTGATTCGAGAACCAAGTGATGACACAACCCGTCCTCACACACACACACTCACGCACGACATGCTGTGTCGCGTGGCCGAATCCCAATCGCTCACCCGACTCCCGTTCTCCTCATTTATTCTAACGATCAAACTAATGTTACATATACCAACCATCACGCATGCACATTGTTCTTCTGTCCGTGGCTCAGTGGTTCCGATGCAACTACCAAGCCAATTGCTCACAGGTGACAAGTTTTACCACATTGCCACAGTGTGAAATCGTGACACTTGTTAGAAAATCAGAAAAAGCACGCGCACGCACAGATACAGGCTGTGCATGCGTGCGCATGCTTGTGTGAGTGTGTTTGTGAAAGGAAATGAATAGATGGTAGTTGCAACTGCCAACGGTCAGGTCTTTCACAGATACGAAAGATCTCATTCTATGGACGATACCAATTCAGGCGCATATGACCTTGTGCGAAAGCACATACGCACGCACATACGCGCAGGTAAAGTTTCTCGTTCATCATCACGTTAAATGTGACATGACATTCATTTGCGAACCGAACACCTTGGAGTGTGGGCTGTTTCGAAGCTGGAGTGTGATTGGTGTATCCTTTGACCTCGCCCCCTTGGGTCTTCGATCATTTACTATCGGTCGACAAATTTGTGACTAGACTGATCCATAGTCAATGACTCCAATTTAGCTATTTGCAGCCAAACTCTTCATCGCTATCACTGTCGTACCGACTGTCTCCACGCGCGTACAACTTCTCACACATCAAAGGTTTGGTACAGTGGCTTGTAAAAAAAATTAAGATGCAACGTTTCTAATACGCACACTATCTGACGCATGCATTCATACTCACAAAACAATATACACAAGCATCCACACATACTGGTGTGCGAATACGCAGAGCGACCCGTCCAGTGTTTAAAATCAAACATTATATAAACAAATTAAAACAAAAGATGCACGTTTTGCAATCAAAAAATGATCGGGTGTCAAATTTTTGCAGGATTTTCTGTTTTTTTCAGTTTTATTTTCAACCGTAAAATCGTTTTATAAAAAGAAAAAACGATAACACGATTGCATATGCGGATAGATAGTACGTATGCATGCACGTCATATACGAGAATTCGAATTTATCGATTTGGTCACTTCCAGCAAGTTATTTTATCAATCATTCAACCAAGCCTTCATCTCCTAAAAATATTGTCCAATTGTTTCTGTGTCCTCCGCATCCAGAAAAGTGAATGAATGCAAATCAAGTTGGACTTGATTCGGTGATTTTGTTTCCGGGAACTACTTTGGTTAAACCTAAGTGTGTTCACTGTATAGTGTTTGTCTCAAATCCACGACAGGGTTAAGACAACCGGAAGATTTCCCTCTATTGCATCTGATCAGTTTCCGTCGATTAATGGTGATCGCCGATCCGAGCGGTTTATGGTGAACAACCGGATGGTATGTTCCGAGTAGGTGCCTCACGACTCATGAAGCAGGGGCTATTTTTTACTTGAATCCTATGATGCGTGAGCCCGGTCGGTTACGTTCGGCTACGTAACTGTCTGTCTGTTTTTGCCAGTGTGAACGATTACTTGCACGCACTGGGTGAGGCAAATTTTCTTCCGGGTAGAGTCAGTGTCCGACTTGATCCGAGATGTAATACTGTGGAGTCAATAAGAAAACCGGATCAATGGAACAATTAGGTCGATCAGGGAATATATATATTCAGTCTTATTCGACCAATCAACTTCCACTCAGGTAACCGGTGTTACTATCTGTACAAGCGCGTTTGGTCTTCGGACAGACGCATAACGACAACCTATGAGTCGTTTATATATGTTTGATGTGTTGCAATTCGAAATAGACTTCATAGCCGTCTCCGACCTCGATTGAAAAGTGCTCGAAGGAGTTCTCCCTGGCACTGGATGAGGGCAAACCTTGATACGTGGTGAAATTGTAAAGTCCGTATTGATTCCTCGGTTCAGAGATGGACAGATCGAACCAAATGATGCTCGAAAAAAGGACACGTCTGGAATATTATCAGATGCGCTTCCATCCAGCTATAACATAAATCAGAGTTTCATGGTTTATAATTTGTACTAAGTACCGGTTGGGATACTGATACGAGAAGTGCATGGAATGTAATAAATGAATGATAGGAACATAGTTCATGGGTTGGTGATCCCTTTTATTTATTCTTATTAATTTAATGTGATGGTGTACTTGAGAGCCATAGTCTGTCAACCGTTCATGAAGAGATTGACAACTGAACGACAATTACAACTTGGTGAGTATAGCGAACTAGAGCGATAGAGTTTAAAGCCGAAGAATCACTAGAGAGTACACTCCAAGAGACTGATCACCTCCTTCAACTGAACACATCATTCCGATCCGGATTGATTTCGACCTGAAAATCCTTCTACGCAGAAATGCGGTTTAAATGAACATGGATTATTGTGTCCGACACCTAACTATTTGAAGACGAAAGCACAAATTATTTCTTTATCAAGACCGCCTGCATTTAACTTTTCAGATTATACCAACAGTTAATTACCTGCTATATCGCAACTGTATGAGATTCCGGAAAAAAATCGATAAATTCTTGAAACTGCCATGTGCCACGTTAGTCATTGAGTTATTTGTTTAACTACAGTTTAGATAAATGTGAGTAATGGAGGATTTGATTACATTTCAAATGGGAATTCGTCGTATATAGCAACCGAAGCGTGAACTGTAAAGCTAGGAAGCATTGAACAGCTGTTTCGACCTGGTTGGGTCTCATCGGCAGTACGAATCCATCGATCCAATTGGGGAACGAACCCGGGACCTCTCGGGCGGAACGCAAGCATGCTACCCACTCGGCTACTGGGAAGCTGATCAGACCGTTTATCATTTTCCATGCACACGATTTAGCACAACCCATCTTTGCGAGCTTGTTGCGGGCCACAGACCCTGCTCATTTCAGCACTGAGGTTATGACTAGGTTGGAGACATTCACAACCTGACTGATAATTTCATGTGAGTAGTGGGTGGTATGTTTGCGTTCTGACCATTAAGTCCCGGGTTCGATCCCCAGTTAGGTCAATGGATTCGCACTGCTGATGAAACCTAACCAGGTCGAAACAGCTGTCCAGTGCTTCCGAGCTTTTCAGTTCACACTTCGTTTGCTATATACAAGACGAATTCCCATTTGAAGTTTAGTTAAAGCCTAATTTGAAACAAACAGTCTCACATAGCCGAATCATAGGGGGCTCACAATCATGCAACCCGCGTTCGAGACCCAGATGATATACGAAATGGGCTTTACTATTACTTCATAAAAATGACAAAACAATTGTACAGCAGCGGTTCCATGATTTCAATATTTTGGTCAAGATTGACGCTGCAGGGTAAAATCTTTTCATAACCGAAGTCAGCTCATTACCGATCCGAACTGGATGATCGTAATTCAATAGCTCGGGGTAAATGGTTACGCATCATTGAGCAACAGAATTTATCGACCGATTGAAAATGTGAAGTCTTATCCCACAATCGGGCTTATCAGTAAGATCAGTTGCGATTATCGTTCAGTCGTTTGCATTGGGTTGTCAGTGCGACAAAGCTTATTGATCGCTCCCCTCAGTGTGACTGACTTTACTGCCTCAAACTGGGGTGTGGCTTTGGCAGCTGTTGTATCAGAATGTGGAATTTGCCTTTCTTTCTGATAAACATCGCGCTTGTGCTGTTGTAGCCTATTCGGCATGGGCTGGACCGGTCGTTGTATTCAAGACGGGCCACAGAACCATGAGGATCTGTGCCAATTTATCAACAGGGTTGAATCAATGCCCCGTGACACATCAATATCCATAGCCCGTTCCGGATGATTTGTTTGCCAAATGAGACGGTAGTAAAATATTTGCCAAACTGAGTTTTCGGATGTGTACAGACAAGTTGAGCTGGAAGATGATTGTAACGAGTTACTTACCATGAAAACTCACTGCGGTTATAATGCTACAGCTGTCTACCCTTTAATGTTAAGTGTACCCGAGCAGCAAGTACTAGACACAATGCTAGATGGTTTAAGAGTTAGCGATGGCGTGTCTAGACGATATTACCATTGTTAGTAAAACAACAGATGCAGTATTGCAGCGGATTTCGGAGTGCGACATATTATATGAACTCCATCAGACATAGGACCGAGTGATAAGACTCAACGAAACGCACCCTTCATTGTATACCCATAGATTTGTTGATGGACTACCGGATTACGAACACAAATCCGGCAGATTTCAGCACCAAAATCAAATCGAAATGAACGGCAACACTCAGCTAGAACTTGAGCCTCAATGCGCAGGCTGATCAAGAATTGAACTTATGAGACTTCAGTGGTATGTTCGATTTCATCTTTTGAAAGGAGGAAGGTGTGATGAGAGCTCAAATCACCTCACAGTTCACTTGTATGGGATGTCACGTGACTGGTCACCCTCCCTATAGACAAGACTAATAATTATTGATCTGTACTTCACCCATTGATCCTGTAAAACTTGTTGACAAAATTACAGTTAGCCAGTTCCAGTTCAGTGACTTATGTTCTTCACAATCCAAGAG